CGCGGGCCGGACGCCCTGCAGCCAGGTGACCCCGCGCCGAGCCGCGCGCTGCCCCCCGCAACTCCGGGCGAGGCTGGGAGGCCGGGCGCTGCGAGCCTAGAACTGGGGGGTGAGCACAGCCTCCCCGGGCCGCGGGACTTCCTCCTGGGGCGGCCGCCACCAGCCTGTGTTTAAAGAGCACTTCCTCCCTGCCCTTCACAGTCTCATCAGCCCCTTCTTTTTGGAGGCAGGGGCTCGCTCTGTAGTTCAGACTGGCCTTGAGCTGTGTAGCCCAGGCTGGCCTCGAACTCGCAGTGATCCTTCTGCCTCAGCCTCCCAAGCGCTGGGATTACAGACGGTTTTGTATTTTTTTTTTTTTAATGGAAGTTGAGTGTTACTGGGTGGGTGCCCTTGCCTGCGGCTGCAGAGCTGTCTGGGAGCTCCGAGCACACACTGAGGGCCTGGAAGGAGCCTGTGTGTCCTCTGTCGCCGTGAGAAGAAAGAGGAACCAGGACTTTTACCGTGCCAAGGCCCCCTGGGGTGAGGTGTCTGATCCCCAGCCTGCTGCTGCAGTGGAGGGGTGGGGACGGCGGGCACGGAAAGGAGGTCTGCAGGGGAGGGTCACATGGACTTTGCTTCGGGCTTTGATTCTTGGTCCTGCCCCTTACCAGCTTTGTGGCTTTGGTCCAGCGCAAACCTTCTGTGAGTCTTAGGCTGCGTCTGTGAAATGGGCTGCTGGGGCTTAGCCCTGGAGGAAACGAGCATGGGTTCTCTGGCCCGGAGGGGGCGCAGGGACACGAGGGTCCTGCTTAGTCCAGGACTAAGTGCAGGACTTAGTCTAGGATCTGTGCAGCCAGGGAGCTGCCTCCCCCCCACCCCGCCCCGCCGTCCCGGCTGTGACATGAACGCGCTGCTGGTGAATCTGGAGAAGCGAGCCAGTGCGCTGCCATCTCGGTTTCCCTGCCCTGCAGCCGGCATCCCAAGTCCCCAGAAAGCCACGTTTCACCACCTGGGTTCGGTGGGCTCCACCCTCCCTCCGGAGGAAGCTCCCCCAGGGGAAGTACTGACTGGTGAGGAAGGAGCTTTACTCTGACTCTGAGCACCCTCTCCCCGTTCTTGGAAGATCGCACTCCTAGGGAATAAAAAGCAGGCATCGACTTGATTGCCACCGCCAGATGATGGCCAAGGCGGCTGCCACGCTGCCAGCTGGGATGATTTCCCAGGCCCTGCTTCCTGTGATTGTGGAGGGAGCTGGGAAGAGGTGGGTTTTCTCCCGCGGTCGGGCTTGCAGAAGTGGTCAGCCGGCCTGTGCGCTCTTCCTGGAGAGCCATATTGTCATTTGCGTGCTCTAGATCCTCTTTGGGGTTTTGCATAGGAGGGGCAGCCTTGTGTGTGTATGTTTGTGTGTGTGTGTGTGTGTGTGTGTGTGTGTGCGTAAAGAAGGTTAGAATGTGGTACTGTACTGGGAAATGCCTTGCAGATCAGGGCTCAGGATGCATTTATGCTCTTCACTTGGAGAGATTTTGCTTGTCTGACAGCCACCCTCTCTCCTTTGTGAACTCCCGAAACCTTCTGCAGACCCTGAGTCCTTAGGCAGCAGGGGGCAGGAGATGTGTCTTGAATGCTGCTGATATTTTAAGAGGCAGCAGGGAGCTGCAGTTTGAGCATGTGCACATTCGTTTGATCTCATGCAGTGGCCACGGTGCCTGTAGGTAGAGACATTATTCTCTTTTACCTAGACTTGGAGAGAGTCTAGGACTTGCCCAAGACCCACAGCCAGTGAGGGGCAGATGCCAGGCTCTCCCCTGAGCCCGACCTGCAGGGCTGATGTTCGTTCTTGGAGGGTCTGCTCCGTGGTGGGTGGTCTTTGTGTCTCTTGGCGCCCGAGGCCACGTGGCTCCTGCTTTTTGACAGCATGAAGAAGAGCGATGGCTTTGCCCCTGATGAGGTGCGGCCTGTCTGCATCTCAAGGTCGGGGCGCTGGCCTGTGGTGACCTTGAAATTGTCTTCTGGCTCCTCCCCGCGGGGAGCCGTGCTGATGCTCTTACATCAGGACCCAGGGAGCGTCCCAGAGGAGGGACTCCCGGGGGACACTGGTACGGTCGGCTGTGGCCTCACACTCGGCATTACTGCCATCTTTTTGATTGAAGAGACCACCATCCATGTGGCTCAGCAGTCTGGGACTTGGCTACCTCCAGCAAAACCATCTGAGACAGTGCTGTGCTGGTGAAAACTCAGATTTGTAATCAGCACTCTCTAGCTAATGCTGACCACAGCCTCTGAACCCTCTTTCTTGTCTCTAAAGAGGCAGAGCATTCTTGACCCTCTCTATCTCCCTGGACTCCTAAGAGTGAGATCCACATTCACGCTGGTTTTCCCTCCCTCTGCTTGCATGTGTGTGACCATGTTTCTCCAGCTCTGGAGCTGCCGTTTCCCATCTGTAAAGTGTGTACATAGGTCCTGGGTGTGTGTCCCGGGTGCAGCTGTGTGAGTGTAGCTTGGAGCGCCCCCAGCTCTGCTTCCCTGGGTTATTCTGTCTCGCTGAAAGCCACCTTGCTGAGCGAAGTCAGTCACGTGCAGGTAGGGCCCCTCCCGTGGGCGACACTTGGCCAGGGCTTGTGTAGGACTTTGTCACTGCCATCTTGCTTTTCACCTATAGCTCAGGGTAGAGGGGCACTTGGCCTGTTTCTGTGTCATCTCTGTGTGCCTGTGACACTCATTCCAAGTTTTCTGTGACCTTCGTTCTCATCCCCTCCTTCCTGCTTTCGCAAGACTTGACTTCCGCAGGCTCTCAAGTTGGTGAAGCCCCTGTGGCTTGGTGGAACTCTGGGAATTGAGTCTTTGAGTCTGGGTAATTGGTGAGAGAGACAACTCTGTAGCCAAAGATGCTTCAGATTTAGGCTTTTCTATTTCTAGGGGCACCAAGGGTATAGGTTTAGGGCTGGGGCTGCTGGGGTTCACACCCTGGCTGTGCGGCTCTTTAACTCTGTGACCTTGGGCCAGAGTCTTTCCTCCCTTAAGGCTGTCTTTATCTTTCAAGTGAGGAATGGTGGTAGCCCCCGGGGAGTTTGTTGGGATCAACTCTGAAGCTCTGCAGAGACTTGGGAAGTTCAGTGCACAGCATATAGGTGCTCAGCGAAAGTCTGTTTCTCCCTGGTCTGCCCACTTCCTGTCCCCGCCCAGGCCCTGCAGTCTTCCTGCACTTCTTCTTGCGGGTTCCCCTTGGGAACCAGCCCTTGAGCCTCCTGAAGGCAAAGTGCACTTCTTTAGACCAGTTGTTGACCACCTGCCATGCAGCGCTCCGCTGAGTGGAAGATGCTTTCACCAGGGTTGGCGGGGGGTCACAAGGTTTGCGTGCCGTCCCATCGATTCCCCCTCACCTCGAAGGGTTGCTAGTTGCCATCTGTGCCTTGAACGTCCTGTTCATAGATATGTAAATAATCGAGTTGCTTAAAGAAGTGCTGCTGAGAGTGATTTTTATAAATATTTAAGATAATCTGAAACCATTAAAGGAATGGCAGAGCTTATTAAAAAACTGAAAATGTTGTTTTGGAAAGGTCCCTTTTTGTTTCCAAATTGAAGAAATGGCAGGGGTAGAGCACGACGAAGGGTACTTTCCGAGCATGGCTGTAGGCCCTGGAGGGGGCGGTGGGCAGCCAGTCTGATCAGCGTTGGCATCTGATGGTGGCAGGTGTGCAGTCACCGTTTGTGGGGTGGGCAGAGTGAAGGTCCAAATCCAAGGGACAAGGACAGGTGTCCGAATTCGGAGAGCTGCCTGGACTTCCTTGAGACTCTTGAGAGGTCCACTGGTGACTTGTGCCTGGAATCCCCCCGGGCATGTGCATTTTGGGTCCTGCTGAGGCGAATTCTGAAGGTGAATCTCTTGGTTCATGATGGACTGTGTTTTAGTGAGTCCTGCAGAGGCCCTCAGTTTGGGAGGTTTCTAGCTGGTAGGTTGGGAGCAGTGTTTCCCAAACCTGACTTACCCGCCAGAGGCCTTGGCAGAGCCGAGAGTCTGCATTTCTAACGGCCCCGGTTTGGGCGCCATACTTGGAACAGGGTGAGCTTGGGGTCATCCGGTCTGACCCCTCTCCCTCTATCCCTGGGGACCGGCCAATGCAGCTTAGGGCTTTGTTAGCGGCAGAGGAAAGAATGCAAAACATAGGCGATAAAATAGGGAAGCGCGGGATAGACTTCCGTGTGGGCTCCAGTGCAACAGTGAGGGTGGGTGGGGAAGAGAGGTGCCTTTATCTGCGGCGGTGCTTTAGTCTGGGAGGTGACCGTGGTCTGGTCCAGGGAGGGCGTGAGGGAGGAAGGGAGGGAGGAAGGCTTGAGCAGGACCCTCCTAACAGAGTCTCAGGCCTTAAGTGTCTCGTGCTCTTGTTAAAGCAGATGAGGGAACTGGGACTCAGAGGAGGAAGTCACTTGGTCGAGAGGCGGAATCAGGGCAGGGGCTTGGCCTTGTGGCTCCCACGCGCAGCTTTTACCACCACCCCACAGCACCTGCCTGCTCACACCCGGAGGAGGTCCCCTGGCCGTGCTTCGTGACCGTGGGTGCTGCTTGAAAGATGCCTTGGCCCTTGGTGTACCTTGGGCAGGGGACTCAGTCTTGAAGCCCGCAGCAGACAAGAAGACTCAGCATGGGACATGTAACAGCTCCGCGGCAGCACATGCCATTTCAGGGCTGGTGGCTCCCTGTTCCCAGGGGCCCAGATCCTGTCATCGGCAAGGAGGAGGGATGGCGAGGGTGCGTTCTGGAGGGAGAGGGCTGAAGCACCAGGAGGAAGACAAGCCCCATCTTTACTCCCCTTTTAGGACTTTCCTGTTTCTGGCTCTGACCGCTGTTAACTCTCCGGGACTTACACCCAACCCCAGCCCAGCCTCCTGTCCCTGTGCGGTCTCGAACAAGTCGCGTCTGCGCACTGAATCGGAATTGTCCTGGGTGAAGCAGAGCTGGTGTCCGCTGCCTCCTGGAGCTGTTTGGAGGATTGAGTGGGACAGTGCGCGCGGCAGCGCCTAGTGTGGCCCCTCGCGGAAACACTGTGTAAGCTCCCACAGAGGACGGTCACCGTGTCTGTTCTGGGGTCATTTCAGGCCACGGCTCTCCAGCCAGCGGAGATGGGGTGTGAATTTGATGGAGGAGAGAGTTTCTTCAAGATACTTTGAGAATGCTGTGGTAGCTTGGTACAAAGCTGAGTGGTCAGCACCTTTGGAAGGGCCAGTGGCCGGCGAAAGGCGTGGGCCTCGACGGACTCCCTAACCTTAAAGTCTTGCAAATTGTGTAGCCGCCCCTGGGTCTCAGTGTCTGCTTTCTAGCCTGCTGTGGCTCTTTATTGGAACAGGCCCGTGTGTGCCTGGCCTAGGCTGGCGTCCAGCAGGTGGTGTGCAGTCACTTGGGCCCTGGTGCACACAGTCCCAGCCTGGGACTCGAGGAGGGAGCGTAAGCAGGGAGACCTTCCCGCCAGTCTCCGCCCCAGCCCGGCTTCGGTCAGAACCACAGTGAAGGAGAGCAAGAGAACGACGAGGAAGTGAAACTTGGG